AGGGGCATCCGCTTATGTTACAAAACACTTGTCCGATAACAACAACCATTTGCTTCTCCCCCGCCCCCCCCCCCCCCCCCCTCCCCGCCCGCAAGAGCGTCTCGCTCAGTGCTGGAGGTCGGTTGCCACCGTGATTTGTCGGCCGCAACCGCGATTTGCAAAATTACGGCGTCCAACTTAAAATAACTCCAAAGGTTCCGCATTTCAAAATATTGAAGATATAGCGAAATAAGCTCACACACAGCTATTGGTACGCATTCAAGTGAAAAGTGCTCCTCTAGACAACCAAATGTATTTATTAGCGAATGCGCTCTTCAAAACGCTTTCAGTTGATTGCGTCATTGAGCGTCATGTCGGTACTCACTTGTAGTTCTCCAACCTCCCGCGAGATGGCAGCATGGACAAGAAGTGTTTGCTGAGCCAAACATCGTATTTTGGCCCTTTATCGTGGTGTTTTTGCGTGCTTATCCGTGAGTTTAAGGTGCTTCATTGGATTGACATACTCGGTTATCGCGCTATTCTTAAGTTATTTGATTACAAGTCTTAGTTCCGTAATAACTAGAAAAAGCATGCAACTTGTAATAGGGGAAAGCGGGGCAAGACGGGCACCTTAACGGTTTTTTAATACGGGACGTTCATAATTCTGTCCAAAAAGTCTTTAGCAGGTGGATATTGAAGGCTGATCAATTGTCTATCTCTTATAAAGGCGCTGGTTTGATATCTCGTCATGTTGAAGTGTGATCCTCCTAAATATCAGGCAATGTATTTTCCTCATTTTGCCCTGCCTTGGGACAAAATGAGGCAGTAATCGTGGCAAAATGGACAAGTGATGAGACTGAATAAGCGAAATAAATATTCTCGAAGTTATCGCTTTCTTATGAAAACGCATCAATAAATGCATTGTTCGGTGAGTAGGTATTTATCTGGACATCAAATAGCTATATTTCTTAATTTTGGGCTCTCATATTTTGTTCGAACCATCCCACTCCATACTCGTTTCCTCAGCATGATCCCACGAGTGAAAGTTATAATGGCCAGCAAATGTGTATTGCAGCTTGGTATGAAGCGACAGCCATTGCTGCATGGCTTAGACACAGAACTAGAGGAGCACAGCCTGGTGGCTACACAATGAGACGACAACGATAGAGTCTCAAAAACGCAAGTCATCGAGCAAGGTTCGCTCAGGAACACTCACTCGTTCCTCTCATCAGTCCCCTTCTTAGTCACTGTGAACGCAAAACACCAAAAGAGCACAGCCTAGTGGACCCGTCAGCAGGTACGACCAATGGCGAAACTAGACAAAACATCAGCCTGCCTAGTCATCCCGGCACAGTTTGCACACGAACACGCACTCGTCCTCTTCATCAATCCCTACACAGGCATCGTGCACCCATTTATCACAGAGAGCACATCGCGACCAAGACTGGCTCGATTTGGACATGGAGAAGAAGGACCCGCAGTACAGACAAGCTACATCTTCTTCGTCCGAGGACTCCTCAAAGGTAAACTTTCGTGGCGTACGCTTGTTTTGTTTGCGCTGCGGTTTCTGAGTTTCTACACTCTTTCTTTGTCTTCCTTTAGACTGACTTCTGTCGTCATTTTTTTCCTCCCTGTCTACCTTCCTTTCCTTCGAGTTTCTTCTCGGGTTCCTCCTTGCATGGTGTGCCAGTCAAGACACATGTTTTACCTTTCTTTCCTCCTTTATCTCTCTCCTTCCTTGAGTACACTTTTGGCACAGGGAGGATTTCGCAGGGAGACACATAGGAGCTTGCGGGTATGCCATTTTGACCTTGGGAGGCATGGCTCGGTCCACCTGAGCATGACACTTCTAGAACGTCATCTTCGTCATCGCTAGAGCTTGAGAAATCATCTGGCAGAGCCCCAATGGTGAGCAACTTCGCCGGAGTTTCGGCATTAGTCGAGCTTCCCTGCCCCGATATTCCAACCTGCGTTGCGTCTTCGGCGACAGTTTCCGAGGACTCCCGAACGTTCGTGCTCACCGAGACATCAACGTCAGAGGGCCCAGGCATGAGCAGAGGGGCTGCTGCTGAGTTGAGACCCACTGGTGCGTTTGCGGTGCCGGTCAGCGGGATGTTCGTTGTTTCTGCCGCTGCAAAGTCTTCTTCGCCAAACACATGGCGGTTTGTGGGAAAGATTCCCGTGACTTCGAAGCCCTTCAACGCCGCCTTCACTGCTGCCGCCTGCACGTGGGCTGACCCAATCAGCTCCCCCATCTCATACAGTGTGATGACTTTACCAGGGTTGTTTCGGAGCCACGCTCTCTGACCTTGGAATAAGAAGGTGCTGACGGGAAGCATGAACGTCCAGTCCAGTGGTTGAAGGCGGTGTGAGGTGTGCGGAGGAATGATGAGCATCACCACACCTGCTTCCCTGCACAGCAGGCTGACTGCGAGGCTCTTGGTGTGGCTGGCATGTCCATCCAGTATGAGAAGGACTGGATCCTGTCTCGAGGGCTTCGGGTGCTGTATGAAATGGTCAAGCCACTTCACGAACAGCTCCTTCTGCGTCCAACCAGACTCATGGTACAGCACCAGGCTCCCTAGGGGAAGACCCTTCTCCAACTGCTGGTTGGCCATCTTTCTTGGGAATATCACACCTGGAGGTATGTAGCTCCCCGCAGCGTTGATACACATCACCCCGGTAACCAGTGTGCCTCGTTCCGCAGATGTCAGTTGGCCGACCTGCTTGCATCCTTTCCTCGCCAGCACCTTCTCTTGTTTTGTTGCGACCGTGTTGAATCCCGTTTCATCCATGTTGTAGATGCGTGTGAGACCGAACTGGGCAGAATCCATCTGCGACTCAAGGTTGTCGAAGAACGCGTTGACATTGACTGAGTTGAACGCCGCGGCGCGAGCAACGCTTGTGGCCTCTGGTGTCCTTAGTGAGACCATGGGTTTCCTTCTGCGGAAGCACCGTATCCACGCCTCCCCTGCCATCGTCGTCACCGTGTTGATCGGGTGAGTGATTTTGTTTCTGTCTGCGAACTCATATGCGAGCCTCTTGAGGTCAGTCAGCGTTTTTCCGAACATCCGGTTTTGGAACTCCATTATGTGCTGTACCAAATCTCACTACTGAGCTTCCGTGAAAGCAGGTTTGTGTCGACCCAGAACCTTCTCTGTGGCCTCTGTTATTGACATTGCCCGTGCCTTTTTCAGCCGTCTGTCGAGAGTCGAATTCGGGACCAGAAAGCGGCGTGTCGCTTCTTTGGTGGACATTTTTCCACCTCGACTGCTTTGATGGCCTTTGCCATCGTATCCTGGTTCCAGGATTGCCGATCGGTTTTTCTCTTGTAATTTTGAACCATTCCCCGGCTGGAGAAGTAGTTCCTCTGTAAAAAGAACGTCAGCGCGAACGTTGAACGGATTTGGGAGGGTCATTCACCCCTTAAGCCCCCCTCCCTTTCCCAACCCTCCCTGGACCCGTCAGTGTACCTATATTTCTTTTTATAAACTAGGAAAATGCTTACCTGCTACGAAAAATTAAGTGCAATTATCAAAGCGAGATACCTCACTGCGTTGGTACTTACGCCAGTGCCTGTGCATGCAGAGAAATACACCCCTTAAATGCACGGAAAAGTACAAAATGTACTGTAAGTTGTATGCGATAATGACCAAAAATGTATGAACTTTTCACTTTTTCATAGCCTAAGATACTTTTTAAAATCCTTTTTTCATAACGGGTCGGTCGGAGGTCGTTGCTTGTTTACTAACAAGTAAGTTAAAGAAGCCATCAAAGAGATGGGCAAATGCGTGATACTGAATCAAGTCATCACAGGTAGGTACTTACAATTCCTATGTTCACAAATAAGCCCTGTTAAACAAAATGATAACGATAAATTATTCCTAAAAGGGACGGTAAATATAGAACTATCACATGCACACCTTCAATAAATTATAAACGACAAACAACGTTCAAATCACCATAAAAATAATACCAAAAATTGGAAAGCGAAAACTCCCGTCCTTCAACAACGACGGCCGCCGACAGAAAGGCCCGGTGCACGTCATTTCCGTCTTCTGTCAGAGAGGCTTTAGTTTAAACCATTGACTTCCGATGCCGCCACCTCTAACAGCCGAAACCGCGGGGTGCCCGTTTTACCAGGGTGTTCCATTTTGCCCCGTTTTCCCCGATGTAACGCAAAACACAGCTCGTGTCGACATGTTGTCTGCCCTGTACAAAATTGAGTGAGCGCCAATTGACCATCATTATTTCTGAAAATCGTGCTCACGAAGGACAGGCATGAATGACTCAACGATTATATTTTTATTTACCTTGTACGTCGCACGGTCAACGAGATGACAAAACTTGACTGACGTTGCCATGGCGTCATAATTGTCTTGATAACTTTGAAATAAACTGCACGAAATAGTCTGCATATGTTGCGGGCTTGTGCCTCAGAAACTACAGGTCTTAGTTTTGAGAATGGCAGGCTGTAAGCTACACCGAATGCTCTTCAAGATGACTATTCAGTTCAAATCACCATACGAATGTGAATGTGAAGCACTCCCCATAAGTTGTACCGGCTTGTGAAACCATGTGTGCACGATGACATTGTGTGGGCGATATCGACAGGCATTGCTGAACGCTCATCGGGCGACATCGCTGTATTTATTCAGATGGCGCCCTGACGGCGCATTACTAAGCGAGCGCAGTTACGAGCGCAGAAACGACAAACTTACTTCGATACCCGCTGCAAACTCACTGTCTGTTCGGTCGACTATGACCCTTTGGAGCCTATGGGGCCTATTGGGACCCAAAGGGACCATGGTCCTGTGCCTCCCCCCCTCCCCCCTCTCTAGATTCGCCATTGATTCCGCGTCATGAGATATCGAGAGGACGTGCCATCGAGGAAAGTATTCCTTTGTGTATGATGGCAATTTTAAGTAGCAGCAGTTTGGTAGCTCTGTAGGCCACCGCGTTCCCGAATGTTCTGGGACAGTAATGACGCATGTTGGTCTCGTGCTTTCCGCCCATCTGTTTCCACAATTGTTGCTGGTGCGAGTCGCGCGACGGGCCGCGGCGGTCGAATTTCTGCAGACCATTTGGAAAAGAGCATTACCGGTGGAATATCGAGGCGGTTGGGCTTACGCAAAGAGTGACCACATTATTTTGTCATCAATCTGGTTCATCACATCGTTGGCAGGGATTTTGTTTTGTGAGTAGAAGGTTCGTTGGCAGCGGCATTTGTGTACAGATACTTACGCCATTTTTGTGGTCAGGTCAGTATAAGTGGAGCAGGCTGGTCATTGCCTGCTATTGTCCTGGTATGCATGCCATACTGATTATGTACACACTTTGCTATATCAGGTGCCCCTTGGTGGAACACAACCATGTGGTCAATGGTGATGACCAGGCTAGACTGCAAAGAAATACATTTTATACAGATCTGGCATAGTATCAGTAGTTGTTGCAACAATTATAGAGTAGGTACACCTAAATCATAGTTGTCAGAGTTGGCAGTATGGTCACTTCCCTTTCAGCATATAGAGCCAACATTTTGAAGATTTATAATGTTTCAAAGATAATGTGGGGCCAAAAACTCCCAGAAATTTGACATGCAAAAATGACAAAAAATTCAGAACAATTTGGCCAGCTCAAGCTTGGTACACATAAGCATGATCTAAGTTCATAGATGCCATGTAGGTATCTGGCACATTAGATTGATTGTTGTAGACAGGAGACTAGATAGACTGTTTGCCAGATCCTTTTAGACTCATCTCAAACTAGGCTTAAATGAGCATATATCAGTACCATATATACATTCCAGCCAGTCCTTGTTCAGAAAATTTTAAGTTGGCTTAGGGATGATACACAAATGATCTGATGGTGCTGATTTGATGAATGATCTCTGACAGTGCATTCCCACCATCAACTGTTGAGATGATGAGATGGCTTTAATGGATTCTTGATGCAGCTTCTGTGGCAGCCTGTCATAAATGTCCTCTGCTGGCAGGCATAGGATGTTCCACAGAGAAGTTCTCTGTGCTCATCTCTCTAGATCTGGCTGTGATGTTATAAAGCTGGGTCATGACCACTCTGTGTTGGCAGTGTTGAAGGGATGGTAGATGGGGTAGGCTCAGTCCTCTTTGTATGCAGGTGGAAAAACTGCTGTGCCAGCTTATATGCTCACATCTGCACCACTTTGATATGATGCAGGTCTTCCATAGAGAGGCAATCCATATTGCATTATTGTGATCCATAAGCATGCACAGCAGGGACATATACTGTGATCATGGATGTAACCATTGGTGGGGGGGGGGGGGGGGTCTGGGAGTCAGTTGAGATAAGAGTGTTCTACATTGGTGGTTAAAGGTATTTGTTTGAATCTCATAAATAGCAGGAAGGTGATAATTCCACTTTGCCATCCACTATTATCAGGTATAAGCATGTGACATGTTTCAGGTAGCTGAGCAAAGATGGCCAAGTGGGGGGAGGGTGACCCACGGTGGATTGTTGAGGACCGCCCTGATGCCACAAATGTCAACAACTGGCATTGGTGAGTATGGAAATGACATTTGGTCACAGCAGGGGAATATGTGCACTTTTTATCAATATTTCTTTGAATATATGCAATTGCATAGAGTGTATAATGAATGCAAATAAATGCACCACTGAGGCATAGGCTGATTTTAACCAAAATTTAAAAAGGATATCAAGATAATTGCATAATTGCAAAAATGTATCAGTGATCATAGCTAGCATTGGTCTGATATGGGTGTTGGAAGCTTTGCTTGTATTCAAACAGTTAATTACGTTTACTGTTAAATCGCTTTCTGGAGTTTCTGTCCATTGGCCATGTATCCATATTGTCATGTGATGAAAGGGATTGGGTTTGCCCAACATCTCCATTTGACATGCCCATTTTTATGGAGACCAGGTCCCAATTAACTATGCAGTTGGTGCATCTGTAAACCCCTCCAACTTATCATCAGACAGCAAGGTTGTGATAACATCTTTTTAGTCCCAAAATAGCAAAACAATGGATGTAGGATCATCGCTATATTCCTTTTTGAGAGCACCATGCTCAGAGCACACAATAATTGGGTATGGTATGGGTATTTACCCCTGCTGTGAGTGCAATGAGAAGTGCTGCTATGTTTGAATGTACCACTGTCCTCCCATAATGTCTGGGTTTGAGGCAAAACTTCAGCGAAAATGCCATGAATCAGAAGGAAATGCCACTTTATATATTTTTAGGTTAACTTGCACTTGCAGTTGGTCTGATCTGTTTGATAGCGCGTGATGGCGTATGTTTCAGGACGGAAAAGAACGCTGCTGCCTGGTCCAAGAGCAAGATGGAAAGTTTGCTAGTGGGACTCGTGATAGATGACGACAAAGTAGGTGCGTATAATATAACAACGTTCCTTTCATTAGTGCTGCTCCTGCAGTCATGCGGGGCGATGCACCACCATTTGTGGTCGACGCACCTGGGTCGTGATTTACCAGCCAACAAGTTTTAAAGGGTTTGTTTGTTCGGTGCGTTCGGCGGCAAAACAAAAAACAAAAGACATCGGGAATTTGAAAACAAACAAGGTTATTCAATGGAATTCCAAGGTAATTTACTGAGAACCGCTGCCGTGAACGAAGGTGCTGCTTCGTTTTTGGGAAGTGGTGATCATTGCGAGGCCGTAGGCCGGGGCATTGTACTTGAGAGCTGGAGGATTTTAACATTCAGCGGACCGGCTGGTGATGTAGATGGAAATGCGTGACACGAATGTGACACGTGACATGATAAAAATGCGTGACGAGTGGACCGAGATCGAGTCGACCCGAACCTCATAAAAGTGAGAAAAAGAACCGGATGGAAGGCAAGACGGACGAGCGTGTTGGCTAACATGGGGTTAGATTTATGCAGTCGGTGACGACTTCCGTGCGTCCGATGACAACCATGGAGCCAGCCATCTTTCAGGGGCGTTTTTGGCGCCACTTATGTCAGATCTGCTTGGCCAGGGAAAATACAAGCATGAAACAAACCGCGCGATGGAGGCGAATATATCAGACATGGGTATAGCGCACGAACCAGACATGGGTATAGGGCCATCTCCGGCTTTGGCCTGGCCAACCCGCAGTTTTTCTCTAATTGATTTTAGTTTCGACAGTTCGACTATGCACCTTTTTCCACGGCTAGCCTTGGTTGTGGCTTCGCGTGTACAAATGGAAACCTGTGGTTTCGGGCTCCGTTTCGTAACCGGAAGCCTGGTTACCAATTCTGTCTTGGTGCAAATCCACCAGCGGTATCAACCTACCCTTGACTAGCCAGTAGGCGCGCTAGTAGTCGACCTGTAAGCAGCCGGTGCCACGTTTCGAAATAGGTCACGAATGCAACAAACTCTATCCTAAAGCGAGAGCGATTTGGCCGTGCAAACAGCACACATAGAGTCCAGCTCATTGTGACCAACATCCTCGTAAAAGGTTTTCGCTCTTCGTGTTCTGCCGCAGTCGCCGAAAACATGATCACCAATTCATCGATTTCTGACGCCAGCATCCCCAAGCCTGCCAGTAGGCTGTTTTTAAACGTGCTTGTAAACGAATACGCTAACGACAAATCAGGGGCACTCTTCCTCTTAAACTCTATTGCAAACTGGCATTCCTGTACATTGATCAGGCCATTTGTACGCTAACCAAAGGGATGTGACGTCATTAATTTAAGTTTTGTTGTCATCTGCGTGATCACAGTTGATGATCTGCCTTTGTTGTCACCTTGTTCGCCCCGTTCGCCGCAGGACGCACTGACACTGTGACGTTCACCTGACTAAAGTTACGCCCGTCTTCAGGTCGAGCCGAAGTAACGAAAATCGAAAAATGCGATGGTGATGCTTCGGTAAACAATAGGAAAGCCAAGCTGATATTCTTCTATGAGTGGGACCTTAAGCTGGAGTGGAAGGGAAAGCTGAATGGCTCCGACACAGAACACCACGGCTTTGTAGAAACACCAAACCTCTCGGATGAAAACGATGAAAGCGACCTGGATGTAAGTATGCGTATAGATGGTTACGTTTGCTTTTGTGTGTTGTCATAGTGCATTGGATAGCAGTTGACGCGTTTGAATCGCGCACATTCCAACTCAGCAACATCGCTGAGATAGGTCACATTCTTGAAAAGCGCTGGTAATCAGTTGCACCCATGGGGTGCACATTGGTCGCGTGACGGTTTTGACGCCACGTGACGTCGCGTGACGTTTTCAGATCAGTGCTTCAATCAAGTCCACGGGCCCCGGCGCCGAGATCATGAAGGAAATGATGAGGAAAAAGGGCGCCGACATCATCAGGAAGAAGCTTGGGGAGTATGTCAGCGCGTTGAAGTCTGGTGAGCAACTTTGGAACGTCTTCCATGGGTGCGGTGGTGATGCTCTCCAGACCGGAGGTGCCTCTCGGCGACTTACCGGAAACGTCATGGCTCGGAGCCGCTCGAAGCGGTGGGGGAACATCGCCGATGTAATCGCGATGACTGATGGGCTGGACTGAAGCCTTTAATACCACCGGCTCGGTTGTTTTTGCGGTCGGATTTCGCAACTTAAAGTTTGTGAAATATGCAAGTCCATGTATTGCCCGTTCATTGTGCCGTTGCGCCTTTTCAGAGTTCACCGCAGGGATGATATTACCGAGCAACAAGGAGGCCGGCGGGGGCGCCAACGACACGAAAGCGACCGTCACCAAAACTCAGTTCAATAACGTGAGTTGAAATAGAATGGCGTGTGGACCAGTATCGTGGCCGACACCGGGCTTTGGCACTAAGGGCCACCCGATGTCTAGGAGGGTCGCAGCTGGCTCTCGAGAGGGCCAGGGCGTTAAATGGGGAGAAAAAACTGAGCTGCGTTTCGCAGCTCTTTTTGCTCAGCGGTGCCAGTTATCAAAAAGCGGAATACTAACAATAATTGTTAAATCACCTTCAGTGACTAGCATAACACAAACACGTCCATTACAGATATCATTAATACAGAAACCGTCTTTCCAGTCTACAAACAATTTGTGCAAGATGGAAAAGCTGGACATCGGAGCCAAAATCGCCACCGCCACCCTCACCGACACCCAACAGTTCAAGTGTACCGCCGAGGAGCTGTATAATGCTGTGACCGTGAAGGAGGTACGTCGTTCTGCGACACGCCACTAGGATGCTAGTTTTGCGTGGTGTTATACGGCGCCCTGACAAGGTCTCACCATAGCGGCCAAAGCCGATGTGGTCATCCAAACTTGGTCGTCACTATTGGTGCCTGGTTTATGGACGCAGTGCTGTGTTAGTACACGGTCACATCTCTGCTCCTCCCAGCCGGCTGTCTCGCTTGACCATGTCGCTCAGCACTTGACTGGCTGAAATGTGCGCGGATGGCCATCTGTCGTCCGTCACACTGATGTTGTTTAGCTGAGACCGGCATCCATAGCGGTCAGCAGCTGATATCGGCTTCCGTATGCCCCGAATGATTCACATGGCCACAAAAATGACGACGCTGAGTGGAGGAGTCTCCTCGCGACCGCTGGCAGCACCCGGTAACGTGAGCTGCGGGCGGGGGAGCCCTCCGTCGTCGTGTCTATTCGTCCTAGTCCAAAACGGACGATGTCGCTGCTCCCATTCCGACCCTTCTACTCGGAGAGATCGCCATCTGTTTGTCTTGTCACCTCCGGTCTGGTCTCGCCCAGGTGTCCATCAGCCCGTGTCGGCTGGTGCTGCCGCACGCCATCCTTCCATTCGTTTCGGTTCGTGTGAGCGGCAGCCCTGTGCGTGTGCAAAATGGTAGATAGAGTCATTCCCCTCCTTGTCCCAGATGGACAGACGTCATCGCGCGCACCCTCTGTCCGCACGCGGCGACCGTCCATCGTTCAGTCGTTTCCGGACGTCAGTCACAGGCGCGCGCGTCCTGTCCTTGGCAGATGGTGGAGGCCTTCACGAACGGGCCGGCGCGGCTGACGGCCGAGCGCGGCGGCGAGTTCAGCCTGCTGGGCGGCAACATCAGCGGCACGTTCGAGGAGCTAACGCCCGGCCGGCGGCTGGTGCAGCAGTGGCGGCTCAAGTCCTGGCCAGGCGGCCACCTCTCGACCGTCACCATCGAGTTCGAGCAGAAGGACGACTGCACTGAGCTGCGGCTCAGCCAGACGGCCGTGCCGGCCAGGTCAGCGGGCGATGGGGGCCCGGTCCGCGACGGCACGGGCCGCGCCGGGCGCTCTGTGCTGTCCCCTGGATGCTGACGCGGGTGCGCCGGCGCGGCGGTGCAGGACGGAGTGTCGCGCGGATGTGTGGCGCTGTCGTTGGGGTAACGTCGGACGGATGCTTACAGTTCCGCGCTTGCTCGCCTACTCGATGCGCTATTTTTCGGATTGAGAGGTCTGCGTTGGGTTCTCTTTCTAGGAGACTTCCGCGAGTGTCGGCTTCATTGGAGTTAACCGCACTTGTAGTTTTAGCCGGCGCGAGCGCTGCTAAAACCCAACAACGTTTGACGTCCGCTGGTGACGCCAGGTCGGTCATACCAGTCATGAGCAAAACACGCCACAAGTGTCGTCTTACCGTCATGGCTGCAGCAGTCTCCCTTCACTGTCGTCTCCCGGTCTCCCCCCTGCTTTCACTCGCCTGACCGGTCCGCCCCTGTTGCAGCGAGCTGGAGCGCACGCGCCAGGGCTGGCAGCGCTACTACTGGGACGCAATGCGGCGAACGTTCGGCTTCGGCGCTGCGCTGCTCTAGAGCCGCGCCCGGCCGGCCGACCCGCCGCGCCGGCCGAGACGCGGAGCCCGGCGCGCCTCGTGACGGAGGGCGCGGCCGTGGCCGTCCGGCCCAGCGTTCTGTCTTAGGTTGTTCGTGATGCCCGTGCCTCTGCCCTTCTCGCCCGCTCCAGTGTTTTGGTCGGTTCCGTGCCGCGCTCGAAATCTGGTCTCCGTTGTGTTCTGTGTAAACTTCGTCGTAGCGTTGTCGTGACGCGCTACGCGGTTCCTTCTCTTGGTCTTCTGCAGAGGCATGACCTTATCTTGTGGCGACTTGCGCAGTGACGCAACAGTGTCTAGTGGCACGCTCGCCTCTGTAAACTGTACTGGTGGTATATTCCATTACAGTACGAATGGTATGCTGGTGGCACTCACCTGGTACATACCAGTCGCCTACGAGCCAACGGGCGCTGTGTGGCCGTGCAGTCGTGGTGCCCTAAAGGACAAATAACCAACCAACCAACCGACCTCCAAACCGCGGCAAGGTCGGAGGCTTCCCGTCGTCGGTTTGCTTCCTCAAATTATGCCTCATATCCGCACTGTCGCCCCGTACATGTTCATTATTTACAACTTTTTATCGGTTCCTAGTGCAATGAGCAATGGTGTCGCTGCCGCGATGTGTTGCATGACTGCACTGAACTCATCCGGTTGGCTTTGAGACATGTGTGCATTCAACGCGTTCCTCAGTTGCTGTTCGTCACTTTCCTCGTCTTGTTTGGCTGGAAGGAATCGATCAACAAACGCGACAGACACCTCGGTGTTTGGCTCTCAATCGAACATATGAGAGGTACCGGGTCGTTAGTTCGCAACGAAGATTCGTTGATGCGTACCGTGAAATTGCCGCAAAATTGTTGCGTGTTTCGTGAGAAACCGCTGCAACGCTGACTTCCCACGACGCAAACTCCTTCCTTTCCAAAGCGATTTATTTCACACAGGGATGCTACGTGTGTGGAAACCGTGAGACGGTTTCGCAACTGAGGCGCAAGCTGGGGGCATGCCCACGTTCAGCATTTACCGGGTCCAGGCCTCAATATCAAGATTATAACGACTAGCTCGTGACAGGTTCGAGTCATCTGCCCCGCATGTGATATATCACCAGCGTTGGCAACGTCACGGTGGTTATTAAGCGGTAGTGCTGGCCGTTTAGGAACCCATCTGGTGGCCAGCGGATGACTGGACTAGTTGTTCAACCAGCGGACGCGGCATCTGTGATCCACCCCAGCTAAATCGACTATGGACAGAAGGGGTTTGTGCAACCTGTCGAATGCTCACATGTTGTGCCTACGGGAAACAGGCGAATATCTGGCAAGTCGAACTCGCATCGAGCTCGCTCACGGCACGTGATTGTGCTCTAAGCGGACTATCTCCTGCCCTTGGCACGCTATTTTGCTGCACTTATTATCGGCACGTCCGCGTCGAGGGCGCCTGTGGTGCTCTCCAGGGGATAGGAAGCTACCAAGAGGTGGCGGCAGCGATCCGCCAAATTCCCGCAGACTGCCGAAAACCCATTTCCCCCACTTAGAAGCATACATATGCATATATATATATATATATATATATATATATGTATACATAGCACGAATATACTTAATAAGCATGTCA